TGTTTTTTATTGGTGCCTTGCATGGCAATAATACTGAAAAAAAAAAAAAAAAAAAAAAAAAAAAAAAAAAAAAAACCCATAAAAACAAAAAACAGGTTGGTGGCAACCCACATCTTTTTTTTTTTTTAAGAGTACATAAACTCCTGTTTTATTTTTATTGTGGCATGAATGATAACATAAAACCCAAAACATGAAAATATACAACTTATATTACACTATGTGTTATGAACAAAATATAAATCTATAACTCTATGTTATATTTACATAATTATTTATTTTATTAAATTTCAAGTGAGATGGTAGGTTGCACATACTTTGTTTTAAGCTCCAGGCATTTGATTGTCTCTGTTCTTTTTTTTTTTTTTTTTTCCATTTTTACTTGTAAAATCCAAAATGTTAGAAGGACTAAGAACTTTAGAACCAGTGGAGCTTTATAAATACTGTTTAGTGAACCAGTGGCAGAAACACTGGGGAGGACAGGAATCAATCAGTAGAAAACTCAACACAATGTCTTCAACCTGGGAAACTGCTGGTTATAGGTAACTTTAAAATTAAATACTGTAAAAGCCTGACTAAACAAACACTTATGCCCTATAAGGCAAAGAGATACCTGAACCACTTTAAGTGGCTTCATACTTCTCCTTGCAACGCCATTAATTTTTATTTTACTATTAACTTGATAGACAAACACTTTATAAACCTGTTTTTGAAAATATACACTTGTGTATTACAAGTCAATAATTTACCCATTAAAGTGGATGAATGTGTTATTATTTGTGATGCTTTAAATGTGAAATAAGAGGCTTCTCCTAGGAATAGTAACAGCTTCTGGGTTTTAAGAAAAGTATCTGAAATTGGACAATAGAATGGTTAAAGGAAATTTTCTTTAAACTAATTTAATGAAGGTAACACTCTATGCCAGAAATCAAAGCTATGAAATAATTTCATCAAAGAAAATTCTTTTATATTTGTTCTTTATAAGAGGATTTGGTTTCAATAATGATTATTATGTTCTTTGGGAGGGATTTTATACATGGTTAACTTTTAAGTACAGATACCAAATGAACTTTAAAATCGACTTAAGTAATTTAGGTATAAATGTACAGAAGAAGAGTTTTATGTTTTAGCCAGTTGTAGTAACTAGCCAAATTACTAGTAACTTATAACTTCGCAACTTTAACCTATTTTCTCCAGTGATGTTCTCTTAACCCACCCACCACCATCGAGTTGACTCCTACTCATAGCTACCTGACAGGAGAGAGTATAGCTGCCCCATAGGGTTTCCAAGGCTGTAAATTTTTACAGAAGTAGACTGCTTCATCTTTCTCCCACAAAGCAGCTGGTGGGTTCAAACTGCCAACCTTTGGGTTAGCAGCTGAATGCTTTAACTATCGTGCCACCAGAACTCCCTGATGTTCTCTTAGATTCATATTATAACAAGTTTAAGAGGAATTCATTACAACAGCAAAAATTCCAGAATTCTGGCAAGATTATTTCAGTTTGAGATCAGCATGTGTGTGTGTCTCTGTGTGTGTGTGAGAAAGAGAGAGAGAGAGAGAGAGAGAGAGAGAGAGAGAGAGAGTCTGACTCTCTGAGAGAGTCAGAGAGAGAGGAATGAGTAAATGGGAAAAGAGAGAGGAGGGAGACTACAGTTATTTTAGATTGATATTACCCTAACTTCTTCTACTTCATCTTTTTGGTCATCACGGGGCACAGAAAAAGAATACAAGGTTTTAGGATCCTTTACAAAAATTATAAACCAATCAAATGTCAAAACCAGTATTAATGTAATAAGTTGCTATTCATAGCACCTTTTATCTAATGACTTTAAAACACTTTAAACATTAATAAAATTACTTTTCTCTTCTGTTTTCTTTTGGGGAACACTAAGGCAAACAAATTTTGTGACACCAGTAAATTAAACATCAGAACCAAAGAATATAATGCAGGGCTATGGACTGGATTCTTGTTTCAGTCCACACACAGTTTAGTCTTTCTGACATACACCTAACTAAATAAAATTAACTTCTGAATTTCAGCAGTTAAAGGTCACTGTTAACAATTTCATTTTCCCTTTCAAATAAAACCAACCAACCAAAGACCAAACAGAAGTGTTTTGTCAATTCACTGATAAGTGTGTTAAAATTGGCTTCCACCATGAATGGCCTCAGTGGCATCTACCTGGAGCTAAAACAAAGTATTCTTGTAGCCCAAAGTCATGAAATGAAAACAAAGCATCTTTATAACATGGTGTAAAATAAGTATCCAGCAAACGTGAAAGGTGAACCCACATAAGTCAGAAAGAATTTGTTAACAGAGAACAAATCTTTAAAAATCTGTTTTCACATTGTACATAATAACGATACAAAAACAAGTGTCTATTATTTTTCCTTATCCAGAGTGCTTAAAAACAAAACAAAACAAAACAAAATTGGCTCTAGATGACTGTGGCAATTAAATAACTAGAATGAGTGACGAGAGCAGAAGTTAATTAAGATTGAACACCACCCTCCCATTAATTCACTTCTTTGTATTAAACACAAGAACTTGACACTGTTGGGGCCAAAATTTTTTAAAGGGGAAAATTATGGAAGGAGAAGTAAAATTGTGTGTGTGTGTGTGTGTGTATATATATATATATATATATATATATATATATATATATATATATATGATAGAAATTAGTTTTAAATATATAACAGCTTATTGGCTGTACTTCCAAATCAGAGCAGAATAAAATAGAAAGGGAGAAATAAAATAAATTATACATAACTTACTAATCTGGGAACAGCTGACCATTATTATTATTATTACTATTATTATTATTATTTTATCATCATCATCATTATTACAACACTATCAAAAAGAGGCAGTTCAAATGAAAATACAGTCATCAAAAACAAACAGGAGAACAAACAAAACAAAATCTCTGACATGCAGGATATGATCAGCTCCTCCAAGCAAAACCCCAGAGCAAGTCTTTTGAGAGAAAGAAAAATAAAATGGATTTTTTTTCTCATTAAGATGTAATAAACAAATTTTTAAGGTGGTATTTTAGGGATGGGATAGGAAAATGATGACTGGAGTGGAAACCGTAGCACATCCAAACTACTGGTTGGAGTATTTACTGTCTGACGTTTCAACACAAATAATGTCAATTGACTTTAAATGATTTTGCATTTATTGGGACAGGCCCTACAACTGCCTTGGAGTTGGTTGGCAAAATCTAAATAAACACTTGTATCACCATCAGACGTTTCTCTACGCATATACTCTTCTGGAATCAAAAGTTGGACTCCAGTGGATTTGTCTTACAGAAAGACAAAGGTGCTGTGGCAAGGATCACTGGGTTAAGCCAGGCTCCATTTTGTTGGGCTGCAATGACTTTAAATTAAATCCTGTTTTTTTGTTATTGTTGTATGAAATGCACATGGGCCATAATTATGAAATGCAAACGGCCTCCATCTCATTTCACAGAGAGTGAGAAATGCCTTCTAAAATCATCAGATCCATCTCCTGGTCAGGAAAGGATGGAATGTTGAAGAAATAAGCTAAATCTACATTTCTGGAAAATGGTCAAATATATTAAATGAAAAGAATGATTGTTTTGCTCATAGTATCAACAGGAAAAACAAACAAAAATCAATAAGTAGCAAATATTAGTGGAACTGATTGACCAAGCAGAAGGGATGTCTGGGAGCAGTTTGCTAGTAGCTTCCATGTTATACATGCACACCTCTATTACACAGGGCCACCTGATCTATCCAATAAGAATCATATTCAAAATTTAAAAATATAATTTCTGAGCCCTATAATTGGTTAAGTTGTCATTTGAAGTGCAAAGTCAAGGTCAAGGTACTTCCAGACCAGTCACTTGGGAGGATGTGGGATTTCATCCCCAGATGTGGGTTTAACTCACAATGTTCCAACATTATTCTTATTAGTACCATAATCACACACATACATACACACAAAAATCTAAGATCAGAAAATATTTTTTCTCTAAATTTCTTATGTCTCTCTCTCTCTGTCTTTTCACCTGAGAACAGCACCTACAGTTTCCATTAAAAAAAAAAAAGAAAAAAAAAGAAAAAAAGGTCAAATCTCACCAGCTGCTGGTATTTCAGGTTTTTCAAGGGATTGTCTAAGATATAACACTGTCCTAACTTATGAAGGAATAGGAAACAAAGGAAAGGGAAAAAATGAACTTGGTCAACACTTCAGTACAAATTTGGCACTTGCTCAAAGATGTAGTGTGGTGTGCAATAGATAAAGAAAGTCCTCTAAAGAAAATAATTGCTTATTTTGTGGTGAATAGCAAGGACATTAAAAACAGGTTATTTTTTTCCCTCTTCCCCCTCATGCACAGACTTCCATCTTTACAGTATAGAGATGGAGAAGATGGAGAGAAGTAAGGGGAAATTCATCTTTCTTTTTTCTGTCAGGTGCATTATTAAAAAAGAAAAAAAGAAAGAAAGAAAAAAGAAAAAAAAAAAACAGCCAGAACCCCCCCAAAACAAAACAAAACTTATTTCTTTTTAAAAATTGTAGCACAAAACAACAAAACACATTCACAAGCCACTTGTTGGCACTGTGTACCTGAGTGAGAATTTCTAGAACATTGTAGAACAAACAGCCATAAAGTTTATTAAAAAAAAAAAAAAAAAAAAAAAGTTGACGGGTAAGACTTCAGTGCTTGGATGTAGCAGCTGAATTACTGGCATTTTTTTACCCATAGCTTATTTCAATCTCTTGTTGTTGATATTGTTGTTTGCTTGCTGTATTATTTTATCTTTTTTTTTTTTCCTTTCCAAGCCTTTGGAGGCTGAGGTCTATTAGTCAGCTGATGTCCCAACTAGTTAAGACTAACAGTTAAAGTAACAGTCAGTGTATGAGAAAGTTAATGTGCTTGGCCACTGGTAAGGATGAACCAGCTAGGGCTTCTTTAAGTCCTAAGGTCACAACAATCTTTTGACCCTTATCAGTTGGCTTGTCCTGCAATATGGTTTTCACTGTCACTCCCATAATCTACATCCGGATCATCTTCTTCCTCATCATACTCATCGTAAATCTCTCCGTTGATGTCCTCTGCCTGTATCTCTTCTTTGATGTGTGGCTCCTCTCCTTTAACTCCATAAGTGCTCTGGATAACAGGCATCCCTGGTTCTGGGCTGCTAGACACACTTGAGTGCTCTGAGGGCAGGTGAGGGGAGGGCATTCCAGCCATGGCGATGGCTCCAGGGTATACAACACCAGCAGTGGCAATGGGGATCTGCGCTTGTTGCCTGTCAGAGGGAGAGTCCCAAAAAGAGACCATGGGTGAAAAGACAGGTCAATATTTGCCTTACTTACATTCAGTTGCTTAGCAATGTACAACTCTTAAAATACTGATTTTCATTCCTTGCCTGACATTCTTAAAAGTGCTTCCTACTTTGACTCTAATACTGTATTTCTGTATAGTGCTTAATAGATTACAAGGCATTGACAAGTATTACCCATTAGATCCTTATGACAATTCCATTTTATTACTATCCTACTTTATATGTACAAAACAAAAATAAAACAACTGACAGAAACATTAAGCAGAAGAGCCCACATTCTTGATTCCAAGTGTACTTTTTCTTCATAATACACAGAAACAGAAGTTGGATTTTTACCCCAGAATGAAACCTAGAGATAATTTAATGTTGAAGGATAACCCTAGAGAAAAATACTGGAATGCTCTTGAGATAAAACTTTACTGGCCAGAAATCACCAGAACTGAACAATATCACATTGTCTACCTAGTTCTTGAAACAGTTTTAGGAAAGGAAGGAAGCAGGTCTGGTTCCATGGATGTATGACCTGCACAGTTACAAAAAGCCCTGTGCTTAGCTCTCATAGTCTTGAAATTCTTAATATTTGTTAAAATAGGGAACACCACAGTTTTATTTTGCACTGGGCCCCATAAATTATATAGGTGGTCCTAGAAGGGAAGGATTTATAGATGCATTCATTCATTTATACATTCATTCATATGTTTACTCTTTACCCAGGAAGCACTGGACTTTGCATTCAGCTCTCAGAAGAGTCATTTACTTAGACCTCTGGACACAGTAGATAGATTATTTCAAAGTAATGGAGGGAATTGGGTAGATCTGATCAACCTTTTTTGAAAGTTATCCTCTGGTCATTTTAAAACCAGTATTTATGATCCCAAGACATGCATATGATCTTGATAAGTTCTCTTTCAAAAATGAGCACCTTCATGTCTGTGCTTTTTGAGGAATTCTGAGGAAGGATTAATGCAGTTGCAGGCAGAACATTATAACACTGTTGAAAGCCTTGCCATCGGAGCAGCATTCTAATTCAGAATGGAACCTTACCATTCACAGCCTTGTTGTGCCCTAAATATAATCCTTACTATACTGTGATCCATAAAGGCTGCCTATATGCCTTGATCCCATTATATTCAGATTCAAGCTTTCTTTCAAAATAAGTTTTTATGGTGTATTGTTTCAACTGAGATGTTAAGCACTGTAGAATTGATTACTATGAAACCTTAAAAGTAATAAAAACCCACTAGGGAAAGAATTAGCAATCATTCTAAAATTGCAAGCTCCAAAATGATTTACTTTCAGATACTTTGTTTTTCAACCCAGTTGTTAACAAAGCTCATGTCAGAGCCATTGTCCTAGGAGATTGGAGTGGATTAGCATGCATGTATTTTTTTCACAATCTTCTGGGGGGCAATTAGTCTTTGAAAATACACAATGTTCAGGTTCTTTTTCAAAATGTTGCTTTGCAAACTAAACAAATTGTTTGGTGACCCATTAAGTATAGGAGGAAGTATTCTCTATGAGAAAAATGACTGAATGGCCCATACCCAACATTGAAGTACTGCCGCATCTCCTGCCTCCTGTTCCGCATGATTGCCTTGTATTCACCGATGCGCAGCTTTTTGCCATCCACCAGGCAGGTGCGCTTCGGCCTGGGTTTGTACTTGTAGTCGGGGTACTTCTCCAGGTGCTGTTTGCTGAGACGGGCTTGCTCTTCATAATATGGCTGTTTTTCTAGGTTTGTCATAGCTTTCCAGCGAGATCCTATGAAGAAAGGAAGGTTAGGATTCTGATTTACACAGTTGCTAAGCATCCTAAACGGAGATATAACTGAAAGCAGGAAAATTTTAAGACAAATGTTGATGAAAACCCAGAAATATATAAAAATGTTGCTGGCTGGTGACCTTTGACTCAAGTGGTGAGATTCTATATGCACAGGCCTGTTGATGGCTATTTACCTAAATAAACTGTGTACGCAAAGATGTGATATCAATGGATAATCTATTTTTTTTTTTCTGGCTTGAAAAATGATTTAGCCAAACTTGTATATTATAAGCTTAAAAATTCATAGATAATTTAATGGATATACCCTTCATTTCTACATTAAACTATGCTGTACTGCTCCAAACTGAGATGTTATGCAATAATTCATCACATTTTGAATCTGAGACTAATTAGCTGAGTATTGAGTACTTTTAAGTAGGGGCACATTACTTACTACCTAGATTGCTAAAATGTTTCACATATAGTTCTCATTCTTCCCAGAATGATTAAGTACATTTACATGAATGATTATAGTAAAAAATTTTTTAATTAAAATTTTAATCATAATTAAAATGATATTAATGAACATGTACTGTGCTAAAGACTTTACACATACTGTCTTAATTTTACTTTTTGTCACAAAACTGTGAGATCGGTAATACACATATTTTCATAGATGAGAAAACTATGGCTCAAATAGATGAAGCAACTTACCCAAAGTTATAAAACTGTTAAATTGCAGATCTGTGACTCAAATTCAGGCTTGACAGAATTTAAAACATGCCACAATGTACACCCCTTACATGCATATGCCCACCTACTATATATGATCAAGTGAAGGTCGAATTAAAATAAGTATGCCCTAAGATTTTTCACTTAATAAGTCACTTTCAATGATATAAAAAGATGTGAGTTCCTGTGAGATAACTCACTGCCATCAAATTGATTTTGACTCATAGTGACCCCCATTGGGTTTCCAAGGATGTAAATCTTTACAGAAGTAGATTGCCTCATCTTCCTCCCATGAAGCAGCTAGTGAATTTGAACCACTGACCTGGTAAGCAGCCAAATGCCTTACCCACTATACCATCAGAGCTCCTTATTCTACACTAACAATGATAATCCAAAATGTTTTCTCTTCTCCTTTTCATTCTTCAACTTGGTTATGCATAAGTAGAACTGAGAAAAAGAACTGTTTGAAGCTTAATTATAAATACTTCTGTTAATTCTTAATATAATGTGGCTTAAGGATTTGATTCTGCCAGTATGGATATTTGTAGGAGTAACAAGTGGTAGTAATAATATTCATTTTTATTAACTGTATGAGAAGAATCTGTCTATATGCAGATGAAGTATGCTTACCTGCAAGTAATCAGTTCAACCCTACCCAATAGTGAAGAAGAATCACTGGACTTCAAACCAAACAAAACCAAACCCTCTGCTATCGAGTCAGCTGTGACTCATAGCAACCCTCATTGTGTTTCTAAGGCTATAAATCTTTACGGAAGCAGACGGCCTCATCTTTCTTCTGCAGAACACTGGTGGGTTCAAACCACCAACCTTTTTGCTAACAGCCAAGTGCCTTAACCACTCCACCACCTGAGCTTTAAGAGCTATAACAACAGCTGGCATAAGGAGATCCTTACCAACTATATAGGAATCCCTGAGTGATATAAACATGTCAGTCCATGACTACAAAACAAAAGGTTAGTGGTTCTAACCCATCCATAGATGCCTAGGAAGAAAGGCATGGTAACCTGTTCCTGAAAGGTCACAGCCTTGAAAACCCTTGTAGTTCTACTCTTCATACGTGAGGTCACCATGACTGGGCATTGAGTTGATGGTAATGTTTTTGTTTGTTTTTACCAAATACATATTGGTATTGTTGTTTTTATCTGCTTTCCAAAGTCACCCAAGGAAGATCTTCAAAGCTTTTTAATGGGTTTATTACTTAAACATAACTTCATACACTAAATGTTAATAGCTCACTGTTGAACAATTCTTCCCTTAAAATGCACAGAATTCCTCAATATGTGCTATTATTTTCACTAAAGTAATGCAACAAAAGGGACAATATCTCTTCCTTTGGAATTTTCCTGCTGGAACGCATGTTCCCAGGTGACTATATCTGTGTAGGTGTTAGAACTATTTACACACATAAATTTATTTCATTCTAAATAGCCAATGCTAATTTTTCTATAACATCTACACAGGTTATAGTTCAATAATAGAGCTTCATCTTTTTCTATCCTTTCATAAAACTTCGGTTTAAGTGGCATTGTCTGACATTAAGCCGGTTGGTCAAGCCATATTATTTGTAGTTACAATCTTGCACTCCTTATTTGCCCCACATTATTCTCTAGAGGTCCTTGAAAGCCATTATGTTGTTCTGAGTGCAAACATAAACACAAGTAAAGCTATAAAAACTATTGAGCTGGATCATGAAGTTTCTTGCAAGCACATATATTATTTTTTGAATCTCAGATCAAGGAATGGGAAAATAAGCTTACTAGAAATAATTTACTGGACAAACATAAATACAATGAAAAATGGATCAAGGACTGTATATATTGCTTGTATGGGAATCATGAGCTACTGAGCCCCCAAGATAACAAAGACACCAGCATTCTCAATTAGAAAAGAAATTGCCAAAGATTCCCCAATCAGTCTAAATGTTCTGTGTCAAATAAAGTATGTTTCTTTAAGGGAAGGAAATGTTTATGCCTTATAGTTAATTTGCTTTGGAATATGAGAACTGTTTTTATATTTCTTCTGATACACATGATGTGGAATGGTTACATTATATGCAATGGAGAATAAGGCAGATGTGGTTCTTTTCTTCCTGAGGCTTATATTCTAGTGCAGGAGAAAATATTTAAACATCTAGTTACAAAATTTTTAAAATGATAATTGTGAAAAGTGCAGGAAGCTATGAGAGCATATGATAAAGAAGTGAGATTAATCTTTTGTAGGTCAAAAGACTGCACTGAAGAACTAACTGATGTACTCCAAGGTTGGAAAGAGAAGTGAACATTATGGAGAAGGAATAGATAGGGCAAGGCCTTCCATGGGAAGAAGGTTTAAGATGAAAGAGAGTTGGCCTAGCTAAAATGTAACATGTATATATAACTGATATAGTAATAGAGCAATCAAAAAGGCATAAATTCCCAAATAAATGGCTTCCAAATCTGTGCTGAATAGAATGACAAAATATTTTGACACTTGGTAATATACTTTCTCTGGGAATACCTCTGAATCCTAAACTGCATAGTGCCTAAGGCACTTGACTAATAACCAGAAGGCTAGTGGTTCAAACCCACCAGCCACTTCTCGGAAGGAAGGTTGGGCAATCTACTTCTGTAGTGATATCGCCTCGGAAACCCAAGGAGGGGTCGCTGTGAGTTGGGTCCAACTCGACGGCAGTGTTTGGTTTTTGAATATTTACAAGTATTTTCAAAAAGGAAAATTAAGATAGCCTAACTTGGGACAAAATAGCTAACTAGTCCATTTTATGACAGTACAGAATTTGGTGGCAAATGTAGCTCTCACTTTTAAATAATAACTTTTGAATAGGATTAACCAATTGGTAAGTTTGGTTTGGGTTTCAATAGGTTTGAGGTACAATGACCACTGTGCGTAGCTACAGTGCAAATTCTGAAACACACTAAAAAAGAATGATGAGACAGCGTGTTAGATAACTCTGAGAGACAAAAATATCTGCTTGATGTGGGTGTGGCTGGTTGCTCATTCTCGGTCCCTGAACAGGGAGTTAGTTCCCTGCTGTTTTTAAAAGGGTGGCCTTTTACAAATAATAATAATAAAAACAAAACAAAACAAAAACAAACAACACAGAGACAGAGACAGACATTTGAGTATTTTTCCTGATTTGAAGAGGAAGATGCAATCAAAAATATTTGATTCTCAAAATAAGAAGGAAAAAAAAAAGCCTTTCTAGTGTTTTTTTCCTTTCTAAATCTGGCAATACAATAAAAGTGAAGGGTTCGGGATGAGTAGCATTGTCATCTCCATGGAGTCTGTAATGAATCTGCACATTTTACTCCGACTACTGTATGTCTAATCAGAAAAAGATGTCCCCCATCCCCTGATCTAGCGCCAAACAGTAAAAGGTGATTCCTTATGTTAACAATTTCAGCAGAATGGCTTATTAAAACCAGATTTTAGGGTATTATAAAATGCTTAGAAGCCCTTTAAAATGTCAACCAGGATCCCCAGAGACTACGTAAAATGTCAACCCAGCTCAAGCGCCTGTTTTAAGCAGAATGAATTAGCGGCATGCTGTCGGGGGCTGTTATCCAAAACAATCAGTAAAAAGGAAAACATCAAGCTTTCTTGTACTTTTATATGAAATGGGTCATTTAGAATGGTCTTGTGGATAGCTGAAGATTATTTATTTGTTTGAAGCTATGACTAAATACTGAAGTCCAAAATACCTGTGATTTTTCCTCCCAAATACAAATGCTGTATCTCTAATTAATACAATATCATTAAAAAGACTTAAATTAAGCAGTACTCTCTTTCATATAGCCTATTAAATATAATCAGGTGGGCATTTTAATATTCTCTCCTTCAAACTAGAAAGGACTTCTGTCAGCCAGCTACTATCTTTTTTTTTAAAGGTTTTTGACTTTATCTCCTAAAATATCATTTCATGTCATCAAAATTGATAATTCTCTTAGAATAAAGTTTTAATCAGCAATTTTCATTTTACTGATATAGATATATGAATGAAATGATATAAAGTTTCAATTGCTTGTTTTTTAAATTTTGACATTTTAGGGTTTCTAAGGGGCTCTAGGTTGGGCAATCCTACTTCCGTAGTGATACTGCCTCGGAAACCCAAGGAGGGGTTGCTATGAGTCAGGGCTGACTTGACGGCACATAACAACAACAACAACAAGGGGCTCTGGTGGTTAAGGCATTCAACTGCTAACCAAGAGGTCAATGATTCGAACTGCTCCACAGAAGAAAGATGAGGCAATCTCCTTCTGTAAAGATTTACAGCCTTGGAAACCCAATGGGGATTGCTATGAGTCAGAATTGACTCGACAGCACTGAGTTTAGTTGTCTTGGATTTTTTTTTTTTTTTCCACTTTGGGAATAACTGTTATAGTAAAATATGCTTACTTAAAGTATTTTATTACTTAGTAGAGCTTTACCAAATGAAACAAGTCTGACACTTTTTAAAGAATAGGGATTTTCATATGGAAGGAAGAATAGTCAAACAAAAAGAAAATAGATCAGTGATGATAGAGATGCAGAAAAATATGTCAGTTACAGAACACTTCATCAGTTTCAATTTTCTAATATGCATGGATATTTAATTTCATAACAAATATTCACATTTTCTACTGGTACCTAAAGTTTCACATGCTTATATAATTTCAGATAGCATTCTTCTAAAGATCTCAGTATCATTTTCAATGAAAATTGAGACACACATTTAAATAGCTAGGATTCTTCTGCTTTCATCTTATTACAAATGCATATTGTACACTGGGTATTGTCATTGTTGAGAACATAGGATCATAAAAACACATCTATAGGTTTAATAACTACTTTTAGTTGATGAGTTCCTTAATGTGAAGTATAAGAAAGGAACCTCTCTTTATAAACTCTATGTATTTACAAGTGCATTATTGATTTTAATAAATCTTAAATAATTTAAACAAATTTTGTTACTTATTTCTCAAAGCTAAAAGTTGCTGGTAGATTGTATGTTTCTGTTTTATTTTTATTACTTAGCTCTCAGGAGCCACACAGTGAATAATCAAAAAGTTGCTTGGGTTACCCAGTAACTGGCCACCAGATTACTTGAATATGATGGTGATGATGGTGACAATGATGTTGTCAACAGAATGACACAAAAGAAATGGAATCTTCTCTCCATCTTTCTTGGATTTATACTGGTCTATAATGGCACATAAGAACAACAACAACAACAACAACAAAAGTCTTTGTACAATTAATACTTTCTCCTCTACTCATATTTTCTGAGGACTTTGTGTGTAAGGTAAATAATGTGTTTTGTTATCTGTTAAGCTGAAAGCTGTAATGGTAGAAAAAGTCTCCTTTTAATAGTGCTGGAAATTATGTCTACAGTTACTAAAAGTATAAATTGAAAAAAATGCACTCTACATCTTCTTGTGCTTAGAATCTGAACTGATTTTCAGTTATAGTACTAGGATGACCATCATCTGCACCTGCATCCCCACCACAACATGATGAATTCTGCAAAGAGAGCTCCTTATCCTTTGTTAACAAGGATGAGGAGAGAAGATGAAGACCTTAAGATAAACAACCTGACTACAGTTTACAAAAGAATAAAAATGGTCAATATGAGGATCTAATGGCTCATGTGAAAGAAACTTTTTTTTTCTCAGTCTTTGTAAATGTATTTCTAGGTTTATAAAGAACAGAAGTTAGTGTAATAGTTAGTATGGAGACACATAGCTAAATTAGCTATAGAAACTGGCTATATCTCTCAATTAACAGAGAATACTTTGTCATCAGATGAATAGCCTCAGTTAGGGTGCTTATTTCTTGTAGATGATTTGAGATCCTTGGCTTACAAACTAGTATCTCTCAATGACTATCAAAAACAGAACAGTATATTTATTCCATACATCACTTAACTCTGAATGCATTTCTTACCCAATATCTTGCTGATGTTGGAGTTATGCATGTCAGGAAAGGCTTGAAGGATTTTCCTCCGTTCATCTTTAGCCCACACCATGAAGGCATTCATTGGACGCTTTATGTGGGGTTCATTGCTACCACGTCCCCTGGATTCTCTATAAATTCTTGACTCTGAGACTCCAGCACTTCCTAAAAATAGGGGACATTGCTTCATATTAGTGTTAAAACGTTTGGCAGCTCCCCTTCTGGGATTTCCGTAAACAAAAAAGCACTTCTGATAACGCACATCTAGTTCTTGAGGCAGACACTTGTTTATGAAGTTTTTGTGATAAGCCTAGTGATGGCAAATGATGTATTTCCATTGCAAATCCATTTCTAATGCATATTTTCCTTTCTTTCAATGGTCTATGGACTGTGTCACCATTTACTTTCAAGAGCACACAAGAAATTCTGAATATATGGTTTTGAGTGCAATTTGGAAATAGAACAGTTAGATTAACTCAGAAGGTTAAGTTGGTACTGCAGATATATCAAACAGGTAAAGGGGCTCACAAAACTGTGAAACACCTGTCTATTATGCAGAATGGATGATTATGGGTGAGGATATGTGTTTGCTATTTAAATACTGACAGACTATAGAGTACTCATGCCTTTCCTCTCTGTGAGGTTACATAAATAAAAACTGCTAGATGAAATCTGAGGTAAAAAATACAATAGAGATAGAGATATTTTCCTGTTCCTGTTTTGTGTTTGGAATGTCTTTGAAATTATGTGCTAATAAATTCAAGAAATATGCAATTACAGTCTTCCCCTAAAGATCTTTGAATTGGTTGGGAAAGAACAAATGAAAACTTATAGTATTATCATTTCTTAATAGATAGATCTACAGTCAGATATTGAAAAAAAAAAAAAAAATTTCCTTAATTTTTTCCCTAAGATCTACAGTTATCCAAAGAGGCCCACTGGTAGTTACATTTCAAACAGCAAGGCTTACTGATGATAAAACACAACCAAAGAGTTACAATGGAATTTTTGTGAAGCTGCATTCATTCTTACAGGCCTTAAGTGATTTCCTAGAATGACTTCAGCAGATCAAACTACTTACAGAAATACTAGACTTTATGCAAAGATAATAAGGAGAACTAGAAGAAAGCATAGAATTCTGAAGAACTCTGACACTAATCTTTCCACGGTTATCATTACAAAAGGTAGAGAAGATGTATTTTGGTAGCACCTGAAACTTTAAAATTTTCTGATGATTTCTATAGTTTCTGTTATCAGTAAGAGCATTGCTTTTCTTTTCTTTCTCCATACTCATCTTCCTTTCTTCCTTTCTTTTCTTAATTTGAAAGAATAGACATGAGTCAGTTATTCAAGCTTATCTATAAGCAACAAACAAAAACACAGCAACAAGGGACAAGGTTGTGGTGACTTCTTGGCCACAGCCAGCTACCTGGAGGAAGTGAGTAGTTGGACCTGTGGGCTTAGGACCATGGCTGCAGGGGACATCAAACTCAATTGGCATAACATACTACACAAAAACATTGTTCTACTTCCTACTTTGGTGAATAGCAATTGGGACCTTAAAAGCTTGCAAGCGGCCATCTAGATGCATGATGGGTCTCTTTTCGTCCAGAGCAAAGAAAACTAAAGACACATGGAAACAATTAGTCCAAGGGACTGGTAGACCATGTGATCCTCAGCCTATATGATCATGAGACCAGAAGAACTAGATGATGCCAGGCTACCACTATCAACCACTAGGAGGGGGATCAGTGTATGAGATACTGGATAGAGTAGGAGAACAATGTGTAACACAACTCAAAATCCTAAGAAAAGACAAAGTTTGCTAGTCTGATGGAGCCTGGTGAGAACCCTGGAACTATGGCCCCTAACTATCCTTCAGGTCTGAATTCAACTCACTCCTGTGGCTTCTAGCCAACTAATAGACAGGCATATGGGTTAAATATTTATATCAGGTAGATAAACTCCTTGGAGTGATCAATCCTTTGTGAGAGAAAAGAAGGGCAGTGTTTGCACAGGGAGACAGCATGGGGGTGGGAGTATATGGCAGGGAAGGACACAGGGAAAAGGTAACTATGGGGAAGAAATGAGAAGAGAGCTGTTACATTGTGGGGAATTGCAGCCAATGTCATGAAACAAAATGTATATGAACTACTGTATGGAAAATGAATTTGCCCTGTAAATTTTCACCCAAATAAAAATAAAAATTAAGAAATAAAAAAGCACATCTTCTGGTGGAATTTTTCATTATTTTTCACTTATAACACACTATTTGATCTTATGAAGACTGGAAAATATTTCACATTCAAACATGCATGACTTGAATAAAGAAGAACAATGCAAACTTGATGTTTTAATGCTGGTTACCTTGGGGTATATTTTAACATGCTTATATAACTTAAAATTTGTGACATTCACTATTACCAGTAATTATCTTTTTATTGACCAAGATGAATGTTAATGTATGGTAAAATCTTTCTAAAATGGTGTTGCTGCTAGCAAATGATCGTTTGCACATCTGCTTTTTAATCCTAATATCTTAAAAGCAATTGCATGAACATTATGTGACTTTAGGAGCTCTGGTAGGGTACTGCCTAAGGCACTTGACTGCTAACCAGAAGGCTGGTGGTTCAAAGTTACCAGCCACTCCTCGGAAGGAAGATTGGGCGATCTACTTCCATAGTGATACCGCCTCAGAAACCCAAGGAGGGGTCACTATGAGTCGGATCTGACTCAAAGGCAGTAACTTTATCCAAAGCAAACATGGTCTCTGTATATACTTAGGCTGGGTTTATCTTGCCCAAGTGAAGTAGAAAATAGAAGTGAATAGAAATATATTAGGCCAGAAAAACAGATTTTTCTTGGATATCCTATTGATTGAAATTCAGTTTTGAGTGAATTATCTGATCAAATGCTCAAACTTGGCTAATCCCTGCACTCCTGCAAATGTGGGCTCGAAAGCTGAATTGGCTCAAGGCAGAAGTATAGATAACTATATTTTGGGGACTTCCAGGGGACTTTCCAGCCTAATGTATGTTTCTCACTGGTTTGTGCTAGTGGAGACTTCTTGATATGCAGGAACTTTTACAACAATAATAAAAGTTAAGGGCTGTGCCACCAAAGAAACTTAAGATACCTATATCTATGAAAAGTATCTCAATACGTATCATCTGACACGAGAGTGGTTTCTAGTCAGGGCACAGTGTAAAAGAAACAACACTTTCTTCTTTTTGCTCTCTTTGTTGTGCTAATAAAGTTAAAGTGTCAAAATAGTTAGTTGTCACTCTGGATTTTGAGAATGCCTATTCCTTTACAGAAATGCCAACAGAAGTCTCAACGCACCTGAGAAAAGCATGAGGTTGGGCAGTTGCGGTCCTAGCAGGCTTATCAGAGGTAGAGAGGGTACCTGATTGTGTGGTAGAGAGGAAAAGAATGAAGGATTCAAAAATGTAAACAACTGTCCTGAAGATGTCCTCTGAGCCATGTAGTCTGGTCAAGGTTTGACAAATAAAACATTAAAAATGAGATTGCAGATACAAAATTTTAAAAAATTTGTTTTGGGTATAAGAAATAGGGAAGGTGAGAAACAGGTAGATGGGGATTTCAATTAGCATTAGCTTTAGAACCATGCCACGTTGAATCCAAGTCTTGCCTCTGTCATTTACAGCTCTGTGACCTTGGAAGAATGTCTCAAAATTCCTTAGAGTCTGTCTCTTTATCTGTGACAGTATTTATCTCATAGACTGTACTCCAGATTAAATTACATGATTCATGCATAGCACTCAGCAGAGTATTTGGCACATGGGACTGCTCACACATGAGAGCTCTTATGTATATCAGACATAAGGTCTTGCCTATTTTTCAGTTGTATAATGTGAAATAGACTCTTCTGCACATTATTGGGATATATATATGAACAATTTCACAAACCATCAGAATCTCCACTCATATTGAAATCCATCATGGCATGGCTAAATTTTCCTTCTTCATTCTGTTTCACTGCCAATTGCTGAGTCAGACTCTCCAGTGTTGTTTTTTCCTTAAAAAGAGAAATTTTAATGAGTGATCAATTTGGGAATTAGAATCATTCAAAGATATATAATACATTAACTCTTGGAAGGCAATGGATGTTCTTTTATTCACCTTTGCATATTCAGCACATCATACCAAGGAAATTGAAGCAAATGATCAGCAGGATTTCTGAGAGAATTTTGATTTTCTTGAACCCCTATAAAAGTCTTGGTGTTTGGGTTGGGTATGCCTAAAAGACACATGATGGAATTCTTGGAGAAAGCCTTCTTAGAACACAAAATACACACAGAAATCTAATGGAAGTAACCTGTTTTAAAACATTTGGAATGCATGCTTTATTTTCAGCCAGACAGAAGAAGTATAGGAGTGGCATGGGGCCCAGAGAAAGTCTTCCAGTAGTCAGGTGACCAAATGATAGAAACATAATTCACAGTAGTGCCCTCTGGTTGCCATCTCCCTAAATGCCATCTGCATTTCTCATGCAAGGGTAATGAAGATGCTTAAATATTCATTGCTAATTGCTTGTCAAGTCTCTGTACATCCAGAGTGAGTGCCTGCTACTTGGACTACAATTTTACTTGGATTGCTAAGCCTAAATATTGAATTGTTGAATTATTTGAGATACAAATATATCAAAATTAGATCTGTAAAGACATCAAGTCATTTAAAAGCATGGAGTACACGGTTTGCATTCGTGCAGAACATGGCATTACAAACTAAATTATTTTCAGGGGAAAATACAATGCTTAACCTAAACCACATGAGATATTATATTACTTCCCAATTAAGAAATGGGTTGATTTTGGGAACAGAAAAAGCATACAGTGAAAGATTTATAACATCTTCTAGAACTTGTTACCATTGTTCTAAGGATAGTGTGGTTCTAAAACAATTTTAAGAAAAGTATCTAATAGAGCTCATAAAATTGATTTTTTTTTAATTTTTTTAAATAATTATCCTGTTGAACACAGCCATGAATTGTATAAGTAAACCACACACACTGTGGAACTGCTATTAACACAACAAAATATTCACAGAAAATAATCAACTATTTAAGATAATGGTATTAGAGGTAAAGGGTCTAGAGAATGTTCCAACCAAGAACCAAAAGCATATTGAAATTCCCAGTACATCAGATGCTTTACTTCAACAAAGTCTCTGGTGATATTAAAATTGCACATGTTAGATACTTCTCTTAAGTCAGTGACCTTGGAACTCCAACTATTATCAAAGTCTGTACACAATTTAATAAAAATATTTTTAATTGTAAATCAGTGTAAAATACAGTAATGAAACTGGAAGCACTAGTTTATATCAATTTTAGCTCTATAGGATTATGTATTAATAAAGTACAAATAAATGTTTCTTATAAACTTTGGCTCTCCAAGTTTATGTATTACTAAAGTCAAAATAAATTATCCACTAAAATTGTAGAATCTGCCCCAATTTGTTCTGTAAATGAAACTAGTATTTTTAGCTGCGTTATATGTTCTGGATTCCTTTTGTTGAGAGAACCTTCCATATACATTCAGCTGAGTTCATGAGCACCAAGGACACGAGCTTAACAGAACCTCTTTCTATAGTGAATGCAGCTGGTAAAATAGAAGATAGTTACATTAAAAAACCACATTCCAGCAACATGATCTGATAGTGCCTGGGTCAATGAAGACTTTACTGTACTACTATGGGTGATACAATGAGCATGAATCATCTCTCAGGATTTAACACTGTATAGGGTAATAGGGCTACATATTTTCTAGAGCATTTTTCCATTCTGAAATAAAGTCTTTCAAGAAGAAAAAGAAAATGCAGGCAATTGGAGTAGAAAAAGAATGACATGTTAAAGGAAGTGTAAGGTTCTGAGTTGGGCTCTATGGATCTTGTACCATCTTACCAAGAGGCTAAAATTAGCAAACAATAAGCAGGAAAGTCACTTTAGTTTTTAGAATAAGGAAACTTTAATCATCCATCTCTAAAGTACATGGCTTAAGATCATTCAATTAATTACAAGACAATGGAACTTATGATGCATCTCAACAAGACGTTACTGGTAGATAGTGCAAGTCAACACAGTAACCTGTGCTTTTTATGCTACACTTTACATAGTCATTTAAGCTTACATTCAATCATAGGAACAGGAAAAAAAAGCAAAGATGATTGGAGGAACCAAAGAACATGTGCCTTTTATGAAAACACATTACCAAACCCAAAACCAATTGTCATTGAGTCAATTCCAACTCAAGATGATCCCATATGTGTCAGAGTAGAACTGTGTGCCATCAGGTTTTCAATGACTGAATTTTCAACAGCACATAGTCAGTCTTTTCATACAAGCTGCCTTTGAATAGACTTTAACTTCCAACCTCTAGCATAGCAGCTAAGCACATTAACCATTTACATCACCCAGAGTCCCCAAATACATTGTGTCACTATGTAAATCAAAATGGTAACATTGACGCAATTTAGAAACACTAGCTGACAACAAAACAATAAGATATAATAGAATTGATGTGAGGGAAAGATAATAATAACCAAGTGAAAGATAACTACCATATAATTCCATATGAACATTGACCGCACATTTAAAGTTTATATATAGCTCTTAAAAAGAGAGGCGGGGCAGATTATCCAGTAAGCAAGGTAAACATTTTTTTTTTTAATGCATATTTACTAATCTCTAGTGAACAGTTTAACATGTTTTATTTTTACCAGGTAACATGTATAAATAACCTCATTACAGATTAATAGGTAAGCACAGGTAAGCTCTTGCTTACTGGGTACTCTGTCTTTGTCAGGGATTGTAAATTTGATAAGAGGTTTTGAGTCTGTAGGAAGATGCTATGTGGTTGGAAGAGAGACAGATGTCAGACACACACAGAAGCAGAATCCCTGATGTGGTGAAAAAACTATGCAATTGTTCACTAAAGATTAGTAAGTAAGCACAAGTAAACTCATGCTTACCTTTGTTATTAGGTAATCTGACACTTTAAAGAGGTAAATATAAATTGATATATGGATTAGAGTCTAGACAATATACTGAACCACCAGAGGAATTAATTTAAGACCAGTTCTCAAATGCTTAAATTAAGTTTTTAGGCATGTAGGATTCAGTGAAGGAGCTCTGGTAGCGTAGTGCCTAAGGCACTTGACTGCTAACCAGAAGGCTGGTGGTTCAAACCTACCAGCCACTCCTCGGAAGGAAGATGGGGCAATCTACTTCCGTAGTGATACTGCCTCAGAAACCCAAGGAGGGGTCGTTATGAGTCATGTCCGACTCAATGGCACATAACAACAACAATAGGATTCAGTGAAATGTTGCAAAGCACAAATACTGTACACTGACCTGATTCTTCCCACCCATGTTCTTCTAATCCCATTCGCCCCTCCACCCCAAATTAGTCTACTTATGAATTATTATTGTGCCCAAAGCTTAACCATTTGAAATTTGTTCTCTGGGTTAAATACTGCCCTCTCTAAAGCCTCTTTTGCGAATGTACCTGAAAAGGTAATATTTTGATTCTCAAAGTTCTTAAAATTACATTAGTTCTTTCCATGTAGCAGTAGCTGAAACTACATACCAAACCAAAAGCCCACTGCCTTAGAGTCAATTCCAACTCACAGCAACCCAGAACACAGGATTTCCAATGCTATAAATCTTTATGGAACCACACCAGCTCATTTTTCTCCCATGAAGTGGCTGTTGGGTTCGAACTACAGACCTTTTGCTTAGCAGCCAAATGCCTTAGGCACTGCACCACCAGAACTCTTGAAACAACAAAAGGGCAGTAATATCAGGTTGGAATAGAATAAATGAGAAGATGTTGAAAATGGGAAACACCAATGAAATTGTGTTTTGGGGAAGGAAATAAAAGTTGATGGATACAGGTGACAATTTTTCACCAACCATATACTTTTAGCTCCATCTGGCTCTGAGTCAGAGCACATAAATCAGGAATTTGGACAGGAAAAATAGCACATTAAGATCATATTTTGCTCTGGAACAAAAATCCATAGCACTTCCACTTTACTTTCTTCTCATTACCATATGCCATGGATTGAACTGTGTCCTCTAAAAATATGTGTCAACTTGGCTAGGCGATGATTCCCAGTATTGTGCAACTGTCCTCCATTTTGTGATCTGACATAATTGTCCTCCATTTTCTGATGTGCTATAAATCCTAACCTCTGCCTGCAGATAATGAGGGAGGATTAAGGTTATGTTTGTATGTTAGTGAGGCAGGATTATTACGAGATATATCACCTTTACTCAGGTCTCAGCCCTGATTTCACGTAAGTGGAGTGTCTGTGGGATGTGGACTGCATCATCTTTTATCTTACAAGAGATAAAAAGAGAAGAAGCAAGCAGAGAAAGACAGAGACCTCTCTCAAGAAACAAAAGCTTGGAGCCGAGTGTGGCTTTTGGACCAGAGTCCTTGCGCTGAGTGCTTCCTAGACGTTGGGAAAGCCTGATGCCAAGACACATGCAGATCTCTAAGGAGCACTGTGACTGTGTGCTGAAAGCAAACAAGGACTTTCCTCCAGAGCTGAGAGAGAGAGACAGCCTTCCCTTAGATGTGGGGCCCCAAATTTAGATTTATAGTTTCCTAAACTGTGAGAGAAATTTATTTTTGTTAAAGCCATCCGCTTGTCCTCTTTCTATTGTAGCAGCACTAGTAATGAAGACACTATCCAAATGCTGATCTGAAATTGAAGAGGTTCATTGTTATTCTCTCCCTTACCTTTTTGTCTATAATACAGAAAGCAAACAAAACTAAACAAACAAAACTAAAACATTTACAGAAATATCTGCCAATATTCTGAACTGCATGGAACAATCCTTGAGTAGAGGCTACAGAAAGATAAATTACTACAATATCAAAAAAAAGAAAAAAGGAGCTCTGGTGATACAGTGGTTAAAGCATTGGGCTGTTAACCAAAAGGTCAGTGGTTCAAACCCACTAGTCTTTCTGCAAGAGAGACATGAGGCAAAATAAAAGTCTTGAAAAT